CAGCCTCCTCCTGTGGCTGGGGAAGAAGGAGCCCTGCTGTGAAGGAGGAGTGCAGGTTGTGGCAGGGTCTCACAGAGGCTGTGCTCTTCACCTCCACCTGGTAAAGGCACAGAACTGGGACGGGGAATCCCAGCCAAAGCACCCAGGTTTAGCTATGGTGTGTCAGCGTCCATCTCTTGAAGGACTGGTCCATAAAATGCTTTTGTTCTTGAGTGGAAAAGGAGGGTGAAAACCATCCAGGGAGTTAGAATATAAATTAACATTGTCTCTTGAATATTGTGAACATTATCTCTTGCACCAAAATAAATAAAGATATGTAGTATTATGTGAAAGATGAAGAAATCACTTTAAAACGAGTCTATGAAACTTCCAGCCTCTCAGCATGAGAGAAAGGGTTTAATGAGCCTTGGGAGGCTGCAGGAATGCATGATTGTAATCCCTTTGTTTATGCACCACCAGCAGTGCACATATTTGGGACAAGAACTGCAGGATTAGGTGAGACAGAACGAGCACCTGTCCAGAAACACGCACAAGCAGCAGCCTTGGGCTTCTCCAAAACCACAGCAGAAACTGCTCAAGCATGTCTGGTAAATTTGGGAACAAGAGAATTGCCTGAAGAGGCACTGCAGCCATTCCCCCATTCAATGCTCTCAGCTACATAATCAACAGGACACAGCTAAGTTTTTACAAGTACATTTTTATTTAAAATAAAAATTAATTATGGTGCCTTTTTAAAATAGGGTACTGCACAATCTGTATATGCAACACAGTTTTTGGTACAGAACATACTTATTGAGCAATATCCTTAAATACTAAATATACATTAATGGCTTGTTTGAGAAACATGACAACATTAAGTCTGATATTTTTTTTCTCTTTAGTCATTTAACCACTGATACAGATTTCCTATAAACAGTATTTGTTTTCATCTGTACATGTGGTACACAGTCAAGAAGGCAGATCTTAGAATATTTACATTCATGCATTGATTTAAACACACTATTTTGCAGTTTAAAATAATATATTTTTGTTTGTACAGGTGCAGGGAGTATTGTAAATACATATCTACCATAGGCCTGATTCGCCAATGCTTTGCAGCATCAATGGTCATGACCTGGTTGGAGCAGGGTGCCCACACTTTCTCCACGTGCTGCGACCATATTGCATGCAAGATTGGACAATCAGATCTCTGTATAGATATATATCAATATATTTATATATTATACTTTGTAGAACTTTCCCCTTTCTTTCTATGTCTGTTTTTGCAGCATCTGTCCAAGGCAGAAATGCTTCCCTGGGCACACCACTGTGTCAGGTGTGGGACAGGAAAGGCAGCAGGGCTGGGGCTTCAGCTCCACCTTCCTGTCTTGTGAGGAGCAAGGAAACTCAACACTTTGCAGCTCAGGCCCTTAAGGTGCATTCCCTGCTAGTGGTGATCCTTGAGAAGAGATTTGGGGCTGCTGCTCTCCCTCAGACTGAGAGCAGCAGTTTGCTGAGTTTGCCTGGTGGTGGTCAGAGCACAGCAAGCACCTTCTGTGTAGAAACTGGCCACCTTCACACCTGCTGCGGATCTGACTATTTTGTGAATGGAGCTAGGCAGGTCCTTTCTACCCCTGGTATTCTAGTAGCTAAAAAGGAACTCAAAATGCTTGTAAAGCTGAATTTTGAGTTGCCAGTTTCCCACATCCAGGATCACTGCTTAGCAAAATGCTTATGTATCTGGCCTACTCCTTTCCCTTTGCATTTAGTTATAGTACAATAAGGAAGCACAGAAGCCTCTCTTATATAAGCTTTACGAGTAGTTTGTAGAGTATTAAACACAACCTTAAACCCCATCAGCAAGCCTCAGAAATCACTCCTCAGTGACATCCCATGTCTAACCTCCCTTTTCTGAAGAGTTATGTCTGATTCCAGTATATTTTTCCTAGCGCCTTTCTCAAGATCACTTTGGTGCAATGTAGCAAACTGTACTTGGGCAGGAGTCTAAAGGCAAAGCTACCCCATGAAGATTTCCCACCTCTCCCCGCCACGCTGCGATGTGAGGGCTGAGAGCAAAGGGTAGCAGAAGAGCAGCTCTCAGCCTGTCTGCTGCTGCTTTTCTGTGACCAATGCATTACAAAAGCACATGAGGAATGCTTGCTCAAGAACTATTCTGGAAATTATGTGCCCGATACATTTATCAGCATGTTGCATATAATGATAGTGTGTATCCACCTAGCAAATAAGCTGCGTGTATTTCTCTCAAAACGCTGCCCCAGAGCTGGTACCTACTTTTACCGTGATTATACAGATGGGTAAACTGAGGCACAGAGAAGCAAAATTACTTGCTAGTAAACAGCAGATCAGTGGTAGAGTTGGAAATAGCTCCTAGGGTTATGTGCTGTGCCTTGCGATGCCTCTCCGCTCTCCAGGAAGTTTTTAATGTTTATGTTCTCCTGAAGAGTCTTCATGGGACCTGGGCTGGATTTGCTTGTGGATTGTGTCATGCATCTTCTCTAGTGAGGACATTTTACCACTGATATCACTGAAAATCAGACAGTTTAGTGACCATCTCTTTTTACTCTTTTTTGCAAAAACAGACATACTTTGATGGCCATAATGACCTACAAATCCTTTTTGTGATTTTGACCTTACAGAGCATGCCTTTAAAGCTGTATTAAGAAACAAACAAAATCAACAACCTTTAGGGAAAAGTGCTAATCCTGAGCCCATATTATGCTAAACTTATCTGCATTCATACTTTATACTCTCAGATAAACATGCAACCAGTCTCAAACTATGAAACATTTCCACATTTAGGCTGAAACAACTGGAGTAAAAAAAGAAAGGCAAACATAGGTAACTACACCAAAATAAATGTTATAGCTTAAAAATATTCTAGAAATATACTTGTAATATTTTCATTATCGTATTTAGGGGCTAAGTTCTTTAGGCAATCAACATTTGGGATACTAGATTCAAATTGTAAATTCTGCAATTTTAATCCCACTTTGGATCTAAGAATATATCACTGTGTCTTGCACAAGCACACAACATTATTGTGTCTGGGAATGATCATACTCGTGGGCAAAGAGTTACTTGCCTCCTTTAACTTTTGCAATTGCATTCACTTCCCAAGAAAGTCTAACTTTAAAAATAATTTTATGCAGTTAAACTTCTACATAGTGATGACAGACTAAAAAGCTAAATTAATAACTACATACATTTCTCAAGAGCAATATATAGCAGCATTTCATTTTATAATTGAAAAGGTACTTATATTTACATACACCCTATTGTTTGATAGGTAATAGAAAACTGCAGATGGGCCTGAGCTGAGACTGCTGATTTGAACATTCCAGAGCTTTTTGGGGGAAGATCTGCAGAACGTTGTCTTCCTCTACCATCACACCGAACTCTGCATCCCAGGAATAGATTACCCACAGGCCGGAATGCACTCAAAATCCAGGTCTGATTTCTGCAGTTCAGGCACATCCTTGTATAAAACTGAAAGTATTGGTGTGTTGCAGTACTGAGAGACAACACAGCTGGGGGCAGCCAGGTCCCAGAGCGAGACTGCATCGGTGCCTGGGAGTTACCCACAGATACGGAAACCGAGTGGTACCAAAGTTTTACGTCCAGACAAGATGCCAGGGTGTAAATTGGTCTTTGACTGCATCACTACTTTCAGCACAGAGGTAAATGGAGACATACACATGGAGATATGACACAAAGGAAAGTTTTCAGGAGGTAGGGAAAGACCAGCATCTCAACTAGTCTCATCACCTTTATCCTAAGGGCTACTTACTGAGTCTGACCTGAGATCCTACGTGAAATGAATTTGGGTAGATTCAGCTTTACTTCAAATAGTCTGCAATCTATGTCATGGAAAGTATAGTGAACTGTATGCTGAACTTGGCACCACTGTCAGCCTCAGCTCAGGAGAGGCAGAGACTGAGGTAATGCGGGCACAACCAGCTACCAGACCTTCAAAAGTGGTCCTACAAGCCAGACCTGCAATGTCCTCAGTGCATCAGTTCAGGAGACTCAACACTTTGAGGGAACAACACTAAGCAGTGAATGAAGAGAATTTCAAAGGGCTGCTAGTCCTTTCAACACAATCCTGCCCAAACACTCACACCAAGATGTAAACAGCATCTTCCCTGTAGGAGTTTCCCTGGGGAATCAGTGTGGTGCAAACACAGAGAGACATGGAATTTCACAAAGGAACATTTTTAAATATAATATAAAAGTGTGGTGCAAAAAAGGAGGCTGATTATGAAGCAATAATGTTTAAAGCACATCTTAATAACATCTCTTTCAATAGCAATGCTAATTGCTAAAATCTCACATTTTGATTTCTTCTGCCTGGAAACTTCAGCCATGAAAACTGCATAGTCACCGGACCACAGATAAATTTCTTGGGATAAGTCACAAGTTCAGGCCAGTTTTGCTTGATTGCTTAACAGAAACCTTTGTTCCCTTTTTAATAACAAAACAGTAAGAATGAAAAGAATGAAGCATCAGCATATGAAACTGCACAGGCTGGAGAAGCACATAGGTGACACCTCTCACAATTTAGAAGGTGACACCTCCCTCTGACCCATCTGTGATAAACTACTGCCACTCTGGCAGATCACCTTCTCCTCAAAATATCCTACTCCAGAAGCTTTTTGTGACACTCAATTCAAACACAAAAGTCGGGGAAGAGAGGAAGAAGAAAAAGAAGAAGCGGGAGGCATGGCAACATCGCTTTCATGGGATGCAGCATGCAGTGCTTATGCCTTTGTGAGGCCTTTTCTCTGGGCAGCCCAGGTGGGTGAGTTTATCCTCCCTTGGAGCAGCAGCAAGCCTGGAGAGCAGCCTGTTTTTCTCTTCTGGATCACTGATGCGTGCGCTGTTTCTGAAATGAAGTCCTTGGCCACAGAGCTCCCTCGGTTGCCTCATTTCACCCACCTTGCATACTCTGTGTGTGTGCTTTGAAAGTTTACCACCTCCTGCACTTGGCGGGGCTTCGGGGATTATACGACCGCATTGTTATCAACTGTTTTGTTGTTTTGGGAGGAGGTCATTGCATATTCCGACCGACTGGTTCCGTTCTCTTCTTTTCTCATTGGTTTCCTTGGGTGATCCCAGGTTCGGTGATGTACAGACAAGGAAGGGAGAGAAGAAAGAACAGAGATCAACATCTTCTTCGTAAATACAGATCGAAAGTGAGGACATATAAGGTATATAATAATACTGAACTTCTGTCTATTTTTCCCTTTCTGAACACAGGCCAAAGCAGCAGGTAATTTTGTCAAGCATCATAGTCCACCTGGAAGGTGACCTGTCTGATCCTAAGGTGTCATGATGTGCTTTTGGTGTCCCCATGCTAGTCTGTTAATGGATACAGGTGTCCCTGTTGCATGCGATGAAGGCTGCTGGAAGGAATGTCCTCCACTGCCACCTTCATCTCTGGAGCACAGGCTGGGATGCCGGGCTGGGTGCTGGGTTGGGCTCTGCCTTGGGGCAGTCATGATCTTTCTCCTCAAAGTGTCTTATCCTTCAAACAGGGATGATGACCAGTCATGTCCACCAAGGACCCAAGTCCCTCACCAGTCATCAGAACACCACCGTGTTCAGTCACTGGGAGTGAACTCACTGACCAGTGCAGATATGTACACCTGTGGTGACCACCCAGACAATCTCCACAGCCAGTGAAGAAAAACAGGCACTTTTAAACAAGATTCAGAACAGCTTAAAGTGGATACCCAAAAAATGTCAGATGCTTTGTGCCCAGGGCATTTGTGTTTCCCTGCACTGTCAGTAAAGGCAGGCTAGTCTGCTAGCCAGATAGAGGTGTCTATGTTCTAGGTGTCTGAGCTAGTGACTGAAACATGGTGCCTGCTGTGACCTTCCAGCACCACCACCTTCTTGTTTTGTTTAGTGGCCACTCCTACTGTTTGCTAACATAGTCCAGGATCATGTGTTAATTGTGAGAAAATTCAGGAAATTCTCAACAAGTGCAGAAATCTATCAAGCATCTGTACATCACAGAGCAGAATAATTTATTTAGGATTTTATAGTTACTCTGCAAAGGGAAACCTGAGCTTAAGTTCTGTAACAGACCATGTTCCATCTTGTAACTTCCCTTTTCAAAAGTGGCTTAACTTGATGGTTTAAACATAGCAGGAGGAAAAAAGCTTTGTGCTTTCCACACAGATATTTCAGACATGAGTGTCTTGAGTTTAAGGTGTTGCTGAGGGCAAAAAGAGGACCAGATACATGTATAACAACAGTCATTCTGTGCTATTGTTCTTGACAATGTTTAACAAAACAAACAGCAATTAATAAAAAATGGTTAATGATATTTAATTTCAGTATTAATGAAAGCTTTATGGACAGTGATTACAGGTAGGTAAATTTGTTTGCTTGTAATCTCAAATAAAATACTTCTGATTGTGATATTTTGTGCCTCTCTACCTGGTAAGAGTTAATATTAGTTATGATTCCAGCTATTAGAGAAGGAAATGGAAGGGGAGACTAAGAGTTAAGGAGGCTAAGGGGTTTGATAAACTGTTTTTCAGTGCTCAACATGTAGTGCCTGTCTGCATCTGAAACAAGGTCATGTGGGTCTTCTGTGACACTGAAAGCACACATCCACCATGCCACATCCCTGACAGGACGAACGGAGAATCTGACGGCAGTGCTTATTTTTTTTTCAGAGCAGGAAAAATGGTGTGGCTGTCTAAACATTTCTGCTGCTTTCAAAACTCCTTTTGTTTTTCTTTTCTCCCAGTTCAAAACCTATCAACAGCTAAAAAATGAAGACATTTTGGCCACTTTTACTAGCTCTTTTTCTCCTATTTACTCCTTCTTTCTTTGGTCTCCTATGTTTCTGCACCTCTCCAGTTCCATTTTCTTTCCCTGTCTAGACTTCCTCTTCTTTCTTTATGTTAAAAAATGTCTTTCTCTCATTTTTATCTACATTTTTTGCATTTTCTAGTAGTGATTTTAAGATGCACTGCTTCAGTTGTCCTGAAATTTGCACTTTCCCTCCCTAGGCTGGTGTCCCAGCACAGACCTGGGTGGATTGGAGGAGGCACCCAGATGGTGAGATCTCTCTGCAGACCCTGCTAGACAGGTTGCCAGGGATATCACACCACTTGCATGCAATGGAAGAGTATTTTTTCAGAGCCTGCAGACAGGGGAATGGAGATTTTATCAAGGTTCTGCTTCTGCCTTATCAATTGCTTAGGGTTAGTGCTAGCAAAACAGAGCACTTATTTTCCTGAGTCTCAATGAAAAGACTATTGTTAGATGCAAAAGTTAGGGCTTAGAGACTGCTCTGTTTAACTCCTTCTCTCAATTTGTTTTCAAATTCACAACAGGCAGGGATTTGGGGTCAGACTTGCCCCAGTTACACCATTTAAATCACTGGCTTGGCACACTGGTATGCACTTGTCACTGTGATTAAACTGGCCCATGTATTTAGATATACAAAGTCCTTTTGGCTTGTTGTGATTTTTCAAGGGCCCTCTTGCATTAGGCCATTGGCCTTCTGTGTGCCACTGGCTCTGTGCCACTAACTCTTTTTATTCCAATTTTTGTTCACTGTTGAGATCCAAGCATGCAAAGTTTCTTGCACACCTTTTATCCTATTTTCTACCTAATATGCCAAACTGTGCATGATCTTCCAAAGTGTAATACTCCAAGCCCCCTTTCAGATGATAAGTATGGACATGCATTTATGCATTTCCATTCCAGGGTTCCTCTTGATTGGTTAAAGGGATGTTTCAAATTAGTGAGGAAATTAGTAGGGAACTATTCATATCTGTGACATACTCACTTGGTGGCAGGCGAAACAGGCTTTTCACTAATAAGTGGTTTGCATTGTTTTACAGTATAATTTGCTATACATTGTTTAGCAAACAAATTGGGTCTTCATGCCAAACATCTGTGAATGAAACTCTGGCCATGCAACTCTGTACAGCTTAGCACACGCCTGAAATGATGCCTCAGAGTCCACAATGACCTCTCCACCATGCATGCATTAACTTGTGCGAGTCCTAAAATCAAGAAAGCATCAAACAGCTGTTTAACAGTGTATTTCACACATCAAGCTAAAATTTCAGATGAGGTTCTGATCACATTATACATCTTATTTATCAAAGAATTTCATACTGGCTTGTCACATTGGCTTGTACCAATCCTTTGCGGAGTCCTGGATAAAGGTCAATGCATATTCAAACACAATTTTTATGTTGTACATTTAAAAAATTTGTTAGAGGAAACATAGTTTTTGGCCCTTTATCATGTCTAGTCACAAAACTTAGTTTGTATATTTGGCAAAACTCTCCTTGCCAGCTTTGGCTACTGTGTAATTTGGCACAGACCTACTGTTTGTAAGGCAATTACGTGATAGAGTACTAGGAGAGGGCTTCTCCTCGTGTCCCATTTGTACACACTTCAGAAAATCTCTGATTGTGACTACTCAGACAAAATCAAGTAAAACCAGAGCAGACTGTTCATTTAATCATGACTTTATCACACCTCATTATAGGCTTAATAAAACTTTGAGAAGAATAAAATCACTTGGACATGGGAACTGAAGTTTTGTCCAGAACAGTAAGCTACCCGAGAGTTTAAAACTCCCATTGCAATATACATTTCATACACTTCCGGGTGCTTCATGCTTGAAAGGCATGAGAGTTTAGAATAAAACCTGATTTCATAAGACAATCTGAGTGTTGCAAACCTCTTTCTAACTAACTACCTCCATAGCAATGTCTCTGTTGAGTGCCAGTGCATCCAGTCCAGTATCTGGGAAGGCTGGGTTCCAAGGAAATCCAATTAAGCTAGGAAGGGGTGACCTTGGGCTGGCAGCAGAGACATGACAGGATCTCAAATTCACCTCCTTCTGGGGTTCCCATACCCGACTCAGCACTGCCAGGAGACACCTGTCTCCACTTGGGGATTTGCTGCCCTGGATTATTGTCTGGGGAAATACATATCCTATTTCTTCCAAAACAGGAATAGAGGATCATTCTTCTTTTCAGGTATCGTTAGAGGAGCAAAGATTGGTTTTTTGGTATACATTGTAGGAGAGGATTACCATTAGTCAGAAGTTCAAAGTAAAACTTCACTCTTTGCTGAGCAGTGGTACAAAACTGAAAATTGTAAAGGCCAACTGCAAAAATCTCTATTTATGTATATACATGAAAGATTGCACTGTATGGGTATCAGTATCAACTGACAGATTTTACTAAAGGTGAAAGCTATGAGGCATCTCCCGACTGTCTTTGCACAATTGTATCTGTGCCAATGTACAGGGTGCCCATGCCAAAAATCCCTTTGTGTTTTCAGTTCCTCTCAGGAAGGTGCCTTTAGTAGCACGTAAAGAGCTTGTCTCTCTCCAGATTGCTGTTTCACTCCTGAACAAAGTTCTCTGGGAAGCTCCATTTTGCAGCCCCATTTCTGGTGCTGGCATGTGCTGGGTTGAGTGCTAATCTCTGGGGCAAAGTGGCTGAAGGGAGAGGGCAAATCAGAGAGCTATTTCACTTACATGTGCAGTGATCTCAAAGCTCTTCTCCATAACCATAACCATCTAATTATTCTCTATTTCGTTAGCTATCAACACACAAAAGATAGCAACTTTCAATAAAATTGGGTCTCATACAACACACCCATTTGCTTCATAGGATTAGTCTGTCCTCAGGGGACATATAAATAGAAACACACAGAAATATCCAAGCTACCTATATACCCGTAGAGATCAAGCTGCAGTGGCATCTTTCTGGGTTACAAAAAGTTATCCAAGAATCAGGGTAGATATCTGTGTAGTTTATTTCCAATCAGCTTCATCTCCAGGGCTAGGATGCTAGCAGTACCTGTGGCAGCTCTGCTGAGAGCTCCAGGCTAGACTTCACTGCTGGAGCCCAGACATGATGATGTGTGGGCTACAGTCACACTTCAAATACATCCTTATTTAGCAGATAGGAATGGAAGAATACATTTTGTCATGTTATTCAACAGACCATCACTCTGCATAATCTGAATGTTTATAAGAACATAAAGAACATGAATGGAGGCTGTTTACAGCTCAGTACTGGGGGTGCCCATCAAACAACTGTTTGATT